CCTTAAAAGTAGTGTACTAGATTTTTTAATTCTTCTACAAATTATGAGTTTCTAAAGCGACTCCGCGCAGGTAAACAATAAGAAAATCTTTTTGCTCCTTGAAAGTACACTGTATTCATTCATTTGCACTACATTATAGAGGCTATTCTCAATTTTGATTAGTGGACCCGATGCTATATGTGAACAAGTGTCGTTTTAAAACGAAAATAATACTGTTTCATTTTCTAGTGTAGAAGGGGTCTTTTCTGTACGGGAAAAATTGAAATATATAGAGGTCAAACAGACAAGAAAAAATAAAGCTGAATTAAGAAATGTGATTGGTGCATTAAAATTTAAATCATCTCAAAAAGATGACTTAAGTTCAATTATGCAATGTGATTGGCGTATTACGTTTTAAGTTAATTCGTTTTATTCTAGTCTGTTTGGGGTCATAGCCATGCTGCGGTTCACACGATAGAAAAGAATAATGACTTTTTTATCTCATATGAGACGAATGATCGTATAACATTTAGCGGTATTGACCGAACGGCACCTTTTCTCGTCGTGTTTGTTCAGTTCATGAGAAAGAAATGAAAATATTTTTTTTTTCTCTCTAACATATATTGACGGACACCTACAATAACACTCGAATATTACATGACATAATATACTTTAGGATGATCTGTATGTATTTTCTTTATTTTTCTACGTTTTATTTTAGTTAAGATAGAAGATCTATGTGCTGAAGAAACAAAAGATTATATTTTTCTTCAGTACTTTAATTAACGCTGTTGAAATAAACTAAGCGTTTGTCACTTGCATAATTTTTTTTACCTCTAAATAGTACGTCTTAATTGTAGTTAAAATCGATCATATTCTAACTAATGAACTAAGGTTTGTTTTATTTTTTCTTTTTCCAAAATAAAGAAAAAGAAATTTATTTCTTCAAATTTTAACTAACCATATTAATGAACTCGCTAATCGAAGTTTCAAGTCGTTTTTATTGTTTGAGTATCTTATCAATATCAAAATATACATTAATACTGAAGTAAAAAGGTTGATGCTGTGAAATATCACATATGATGAGCGTCCTAATTTAAAGGAAAAAATTAAAACATCGTTCACAGACAATATCTCTCCAGACAGTTTTTACTTACGAATCGATCTTTCAATGACATGTTGGTCGTTCCTCAAAAGTAGATTTATCGTATTTAATTGGGTTTGCCAAAGACTCGAGTTTTAAAAGTTCTGTTTTAATAATACTTTCATGTAGATGTCTTTAATATTAATGAAACTATGATTGGTCTGAAGTTATTAATAAAATGACCTTTAGTTATAGAGCGAAACTTTTATTTATTTTGAAATAATAGAAAAATGATAAACGAAAACACTTTTCTAAATCCAATATAGAAAATTAATACTAAGGTATGGAATTTTGAAGATGCGAGACTATTATCGAATAAGTGAGTTTTATTAAATTTTGTTCTCTTTTTGCAAATAGAAAACAAGAGGTGACAATTTTTACTATAGATCCTTGAAATGTGCTTTCAAATATAGTAGAGTTAAGCTGCATATTCTTCCTTTGTTTTCTGTTCTTAATGATGCAGTGTTTATTCATTCATTGTCCTATAATATCAGCGAGGAAATACATACATCATTGCATCTCTGTAATATAATAGCCTTGACCAACATAATATACGATGTACAATGTGTGCTAGGAGAAAAAGATGGTATTTTTTACTACAATATACAGCGTGGATCAATAATGAGTTGAATAACATAAGTCAGTAATTCCTCATTATCATTGAAAATATTTACCCTTTCATATGTCTGTACAATAATCAGATCGAAAATTGAATGGATAAAGTTATAAAATCAAAAGTATTATTTAATATATTTGTATAATGTTGAAATGAAAGAAAACTGAGATGCTTATTCATCAAAAGGTCATGCTCACTGACGTTTCAAGGCTTATAGGACTTTTTATTTTTGAATCATTTTTTCATCTAAATAAAAATTGTTTGAACTTTAGTAATATTTATGTAATCTTCTGAAAATGAATACTATTTTTTTTGTTTTTATTTCGTTACACCAGTCATTTTATTAGTGATCAGTAGTGATCGAACTTATGAAAAGAAAAGTATAAAATATCTTTCATTTTAGATAAAATGATCAGTAGAATGGAAATATTACCTAATGAAATTCTTCTTCATATATTTTCTTATCTTGAATGGTTCGATATGTTAACATCTTTCTGGTCATTAAATATTCGCTTCAATTCTCTTGTATGTTCAATTTTTTCGATAAATGACAATAGATTGAACAGTGGTCTGCTTATTACGCATGGTTTATCTTATAATAAATGTTGTTCAATATTATTTCCATTGATTTTAAATTCATCACCTCTTTCTTCTTCTATTCAACGTATTCATTTTGATGGATCAAATTCAATTGCTTCTGATCTTTGTTATGAATGGTTATTTAATGATAAAAAATTACTTCATTTTCCAAATCTTAAATCACTTGTTCTTGGTCAATGTGGATCAATTAAACCAATAGTTCAAAGTTTATCTTATCTTGTTCAACATCAATTAGATGAACTTACATTAACATTTAATAAGCATGTATTCACACAGTTTTATTATAAAGAAAACCATTTGCCACTGGTTTCTGATAAAGGTAACCAACCATTTATTTGATAGATTCTATAAAACAAGATAGGATTATCTCTCTTGAAGAAATCATTCTCAATTGAAACTAAATTCTTTCACTGAAACAAAGAAGAATATTTACGTGTCAAACAATAAGACCTATTTTCGAGAACACTTGTAGATGTAAATCAATATTTAACAATTGTTGACAATCACTATTACTGAGTGAAGATCTAGTAAAACGGTCACTTAGCTGTAGAACATAGGATTATGGTCGCAAACCAAGCTAACTTTTCTCTTGACACAATACATCCTATCCAATAAGATAAGTGTCAGCTTAAAATTGATTTATCACATCATGAGATTTTCTCTTAAGATATAGAAATTAATATAATAAGTAATAACATCCAATTTAGTAATTTATTGTTTTCCTGTTATGCAAAAAAAAAAACATTAAATGTGAATAAGTCGTATGTCGAAGGGGAAACAGCTGATTCTGGGTAGAAAAAATCATCTGGAATCACTTGGAGTCATCCGAATCCAAGGGAAAAGCAGCTGATTCTGGGCAGCAGAATCATCTGAAATCACTAGTATCACTTAGAATCACTTGAAATCAACAGAATTTTGAAATCTTAGAGGCAGCTGTTTCCACCTTACATATATAACTATAAATAAATTTTGGTTAATTGTTAATTGTATTTCACGGTTATCTTAAACATGTTCCAGTCATTTATTCATTGAAAGATCAATCAACTGTTATAATCATTCAGTTGATTCAATAGAAATAGAATTAAATTTATTTTATTTTTGTATGTTATTTTTTGATCAATCAGAAAAAGAATGAGATTATATAAATATCAGTTTTACATTAATAAACCTAAAATTAAAAAGATTTTTTCATAAAAAAATATTTTTTTAAGCAATAGAAAATTTCTCTTTTTTATTTTTTGAGAAACAATAGAAAAACAGTTCACCATGCTCAAACAATTTCTTTGTCAATTATTCTCTGGTCAATGTCAATTAAAATCTCTTCGACTTGATATTAGCAACGAATTTAGGGATGGTTTTTTTCATCGATGTTTATCATCAAACTCTAATCTTTCTTTCGATTTTATTCAATATCCATACCGATCTTCTTGTGTAACTCTTCGTCGTTTGCATATTCGACTTAATCAAAGTTGTTTTCTGGAAAATCTGATTGAATATGTACCAAACATCGAACAAATGTCAATTGAGTGTGATTGTTCTTTGTGTTCTTATAGATTAAGGACATCAAATATTGAAACACTGAGTCAATTAAATGAAAATTGGTTTAATAAAGTAAGAAAAAAAACAAAGAATAATCATCTTTTTTTTTATTTGATGAATTTCTTAAAATATCTATTTCTTTTAATTGATAAAAAAAACAATCGTATTCTTTTAGATACCAAAACTACGATGTTTTAGTTTAAAAACTTTCATTAACAATGATTCGAATATTATTTATTTGAAATGGCTTCTTAATAATATAAACTATGTTGAGAAACTTCAACTTCAACTTAGAAGTGATAAACTAATTGAAACAAGCCGTCAAAATATATTAAAATCTTTTATTGATGCAAGTTTTATTCGCCAATATTGTTTACCTGATACAATATCTAATTTAATTTATTTTGATTTTTATATTTGTTCAGAATGTCAATTATCATTTAATGATGTAGAAAAAATAACAAATTCATTTAAAATTCATTCTTTTTTTATCGATCATCAATGGACAAATGTTAAATGTTTATTTGATCCAATAATGTCGTCTCAACATCTTTTCTCTTCTTTCAATAATACATCTCAAATTTCCGATAATTTTATGTAAGATATTTGTCTTTATGAAAAATTTGAGATCTTCTTGAATCACTTATATATTTTTCTTTTAGTGATTATTCATATATTTTTAATTGGCCCCGTACTGGTGACATTTGGTTTAAAATGTATCCATCACTTTATTTTTTTCTCGAACAATTCACTGAATTATCACCTAATATTTCTTGTGTCAAAGTATACCGAGGTAAGTTTCTTTGCCATTTCCATTACTCTCTTAATGACTAAAGAAATAGGTGGCAAAGTTCGGGTTACCGGAAGTTTGTCGATAGTCACACTCATGAGCGCTCATATGAGCGTGAGCAAGCGCTTTTCGCTGACGTTCATATGAGTGTTCATGAGTGTGGGCATGAGCTGTACATTCCTACTTTGTTCTGAAATGAATCTAATAGAAAAATAATAAAATAGTATTTTTAAAAGTATAAAAAATTTCTATTTTTGTTTTAGAACGTAACAGAGCTTTCGTCGAGTCAGATTTTTTGATGTCATTGAAGATCTTATCCAAAATGAGGCAACACAAGGAAATCAATATTCATTTTCGAAATGTTACGAAAATTCAATTTGGAATGTATTTTGACCGGATAAATAGTTTGTATTATATTTGATTTTTTTTTCGAAGATTTGAAAAGAAATAGCTTACTCTTTATTTTTAGTTAAAAGAAAACATTAGCACAAATTTTTTTTATTGCTTTAAATTTCACATAAAACTATTTTCTTATAGTCAGCAGAACGAAATGAACTTTTTTTGTATATTAAGATTTAATATTTTATAATTATATTGAGACTTTAAACATGAGTTTTATAATTATTGATGCTGAGTAGAATTTGAGTGGTCATGAAAAAAGACACGATTCATAGAGAAAGTCATTTAGTAATATTAGGTTTAACCACTAGTATTGAGAATCTCTATTCAAACTCTGATCGTTGTTGGATAGATGCTGCGTTGATTAAAGACTGTTGCCTGTTCGGATACACTTACTAATAATACAGTCTGTCATTACTATGCAGGTTATGGTCTACAATCTATTTCGCTCCGTTTCAACGTTCTTTTCTCTATGAGAACAGTCTTAAAAATCTCATCTTCCATTTAGAATTTTACTTGGTTATTAATCATAGATAAAAATATTCTAATTAAAAATGATTTATATGAAAATATTTTTGTAAGAGATTTCGTATCGATGGAAGAATGCAGTGAGCAATGTTAATTCTTGAGATATAAATAATAAAAATCGAACGAAAAATATTATGATTGGTTCATAATTGAGAGATATTTTCAATCCGGATCAAAAATTTTATATTTCGACAATTTGATTATTTAATATTTAATAATAAACATCTAAAATATTTCATAACCTCTCTTGACTGTTAGATAATAAATAAAAATAATTTATTTTCTAAATAATTTAAAAAAAAATATTATTTCAAATTCGAGTTAATTTCGATTGTTGAAAAATTTGAAATAATTTTTCTTACATATTTAATTCATTTTCGATTTATTCATATTAGAATTATTCTCATAATATTTCATAAGTATAAAATAAAGCTTAACATATTGCTGCATATTATTTAAATAAACATGAATTTCGTTTGGTAAATGTTACTAAATTATTTTATAACGGATAAATCATTCAGATATGAGAAGTAATCAGAGATGCAGAATCTGATGTTAAAATGAAAAATTTCCCTCACACGTGTAGTCGCGCACAGATACATTCTACACGTCTGACAAGTAATATTCTAAATTAAAAATGATCATTAGTTTTCTTTCAAATAATTTGTTCTGAGATCTTAATAAATACAAGAGAAATATATGAGTATCGATTAGTAAATGTGAAATAAACACAATAAAGAAATGAATCGACTATTTTCAAAGAGATTTCTAATTTTTGTAAAAGAAACTTCAACGATTATATCTATATGTAGAATAA